GCGCCTGCGATGACTAGCGCTCTTGCCAAGCGCAAAGGGCTCCTGTGGCCCGTGCTTTCATGCAATCGCCTCACAGCCTGCCTCACAGAAGCAGGGATTGGCACGTCCTTTTCGGGGTCCTGGCTCGGTTCGAGCGCCTCGTCCTCAGACTCCATTGTGCCGTTCAGGCCGTCAAGCAAATCGTCATCGTCCACAGCCGTCTCTGCAGCCAGGGTCTCAGTCACCTTCTCGGGGCCGTGGTCCTTGTCAAACTGTTGCTGGACCGCCTCCAGCACTGCTTCCACAAGGTTTTCGTCACGCTGGTCCCGAAAAGCATCTGCCACGACCCGGCTCGATGTCAAATAGCGCCGACCTTCTCGGGAAAAGTCGAAAAGGCCCGCCTCATCCATCAGCTCCCGGCCCTCCAGTGTACGATGCGGGTCGGCTCCGCGAAGAAGCTCCATCAAGAAGTGCCGTCCAGACCGCCGATGTGCCAGGGCTGCATGCATCACAGATGCCTCGGCATCCAAAATTTTCTTTTCAGCGGCGAGTCTGGTCCGTTCAGGGGCGTAGTTCAGGAGGGGCGATCTGCCCGTCGCCCGCAACATCAGAAGTACGGCTTCACACATAGATCGGCCTGCAGCTGGCCCACAGCGTGCCCACGAGCTGCCGCCAACTTGAACAAGTCAGGGGCCAAAGGGGCCCGGTCATGAGGGTGAGGCACGAACGCCATGTCGATGAAGGGCTCGTGGAGCGCACGGTCATAAATCTGGTCCTGCAGCACTGCAAAGGCCTCATAGATGTTTTGCGGGCTCACCTTGAGAAGATTGCGATCATGCTTGCACTTGTTCCAGGCCTGGGATATCAGCAACCGTTGTCCCGTCTTTAGTTGTTGCCGAAGAGGAGGAATTACAGCTCGTTTTCGTTCGTCATCTGCTGGAAGCCCATATCGCTGTCCGGTGACAGGCCACCTTCCCCATCCAGTGGCCGGCTGCCGCTGTTGCCCGACATCATCATCATGCGCTGCATCGTCTGGTGCAGCATGGCTTCGAACCGGCTGTCGCGGTCTTGCATACGGGCCTCGACCATTGCACTCACCTGCTGGAGGATCTCGTCTTGTGAAGGGGTCGGCGGCTGCATCGGTCCGGCCGTCCGGCGCTCGATCGTCGGCTGTAGTTGCCCTTCGGGTTCGCAGCGTGGTACAGGAAGTTCCGCTGAAGCCGCCGCCGGGGTCGCCGAGGATGTAGCCACCTGAGCCGACGGAAGCGGAACGCCCCGAAGCGCGTCGAGGGTCGGGCGCAACTTTGTTTTGAGCTTCTCGACGGTGTCGTTGTCGTTCACCTCCACATGCAGCAACGTGGCCAGACGGATGAGGTCCTGTTTCAAGGTGGGCAAACCACCCTTGGGACCCAGCAAGGCCCGCGCAGCGGTCAGCTGCTCGGCTTTGGTCTTTTTCGCGATCGCCTCGGCTTTCAACTTGTCCACCAGCTGGCTGTGGATCGCGGCTCGAACTCCTTTGGTGTGGCGAGCTGCCAGCATTCCATCCAACATGGGATCTTCGACAAACGCCAGATTGACGCCCATCCTGTCCCTCAAGTAGCCCGCGTCCTTGAGCAACCCCAGGTCCTCGAACTTGTTCTGGAGGGCAGCTGCACGAAAATGCCGCCGCGGCAGGGCTCCACTCCGCACCATGGCTTCGGCTTGCTCCTTCCAGGCCGACGGGGACCGGATGTTGCTGTACGGCAGGGGCACGTACCGAAGCAAGGGCCGCTGCAGCAACCAAAGCAGTAGCCCAGCGAAGTGCCACACGTTTCTTTCGAGGAGGCGCAAACACATCCTTCGGAACCGCCCGGCCACACGGCCCGCCCTGCTTGTGTCTAGCCGCAACATGGAGAGGCGCAGTCAGTACCGGCTTGGTCATTGAATTTGAAACTCTCGAACCACTGTGGCCAGCATGTGGGCCCCGTGCTTGCTCAACCGCTAGTTGTTCATGCTCACGACCATTCACAGGGGGGCCCTTGACTGCTGCTGCACGGCGAAGGCTCCACTCGAACGAGCTAAGTTGAACCTCCAGTATCCCGTCCTGGCCTTCGCGTCGCCACGGTCTCGCCGAGGTGCACCAGGTCTCCGGGAAGATGTCGAGGAAGAAGTGACCTGCCGAGAGCTGCCGAAGCGGAATTCGAGAAGCATCAAGATGATCCGCTCGCAAAGCCCTTCTAGTAAAGCTGATCACTCCTCCGATGGCCTCCAAGAAGTCCCTTCCAAGGAGGAGGCCCAAAGACTCGACCTCGACAACACTGGTCCAAACCAACACGCAGGAACTGCCAACAACCATGGGAAGCCGATGTCGTGAGTAGCTTGCCTTCACTCCGTCATTCCCGAACTTAAAGTTCTCCCGCTCGACCTCCGTCTTCACAAGGGGCTGCAAGGCCTGCCACAAGGGAGAACTAGCAAGAGCTTGCAAGTAGCCCTCCAGCCAGCGACGGCCACACACGGTGCGATTGCACGCACTGTCAAGCGCCCCCACAAGTCTTTTGTCCACGGCCAAAGCGTTCTGCGTCTCATGCGGCTGGCTTGCTTCAAGCGCCTCTGCAAAGGAACTCCAAGACGAAACGACAGCGGTCTCATGGTAGACTGCGGGGTCTTCATGCTGCTCCTGCGTCGCCTCGGCCGCAAAGGACTCGACCAACTGGACCCGACGATGCGACGGGGAACTCTGCGAGGGCGTTGCCCCCGGCCTCGCCGAAGACTTGGGTCGAGCCAGGCCAGCGCCCGGCTTTGAGCAGCCTTGGTCGCCAGCCCAATGGCCTGGCTGGCCACAATCGTGGCAAACCCCACGCTTCTTGAAGCCAGGCCTCCCGGACTGCGGCGACGAGGGTGCCGAAGTAGCCTTGCCGAACCCGCGGTCCTTGCGCAGATCCTGAAGCTTGTGGCGCGCTTCGCGCATAGTCAAGAGAGCTTCGGCAGCTGACTCGACCGTTCCTTCCACTTCGTCTAGCACTTGCGGCTCCAGTCCTTCGGCCTCAGCCTGCTCCAGCTCCGTCGCCAAGGCCTCGGCCTCAGCCTCAAGCACATTGTCCAAGGAGATGCCGTTGCCCTCCTCCTCGGGAACAAGCTCTTCATCCTCAGCCTCCTCGCCCGGCTCGCCCTCAGTCTCGCCAAGCTGCTCGGCTGCAAAGGCTTGCCGCGACCGATATCCAAGAAACGGCCGTCTCGGCGCAAACGAGCCTGCCTTGCCGCCGCCTTTCAGCGCTGGCGTCACGCTGCCTGAAGAACGGCCCGACACAGAACTTAATGCTCCAGAGCCACGGTACACGGAGAAGGTGGTCGAAGAGGAAGGTGTGCCGCCAAAGCCGCCAAAGCTACGGCCGCGGCCTCTGAGGTCAGGGGCTCCCGCTCGTCTCATCAAGGGGTCTGCGGCATGAAGGTCTTTGAAAAGCCGCAGGGCTTCAGCCTCGACATCCTCGAAGCCTTCCCGGCCCTGCAAAGCCGTCTCCAGCAACTGCTTCCTCAACGGATCCAGCCCCAACTTTTCTTTTAGAAACCAGCCCAACTCGGAACTCGGGAGGGCTATCCCTTCACTCTTCAGCTCAGCGGCCAGGAAGCGAAATCTCGACATAAAGTCAGCTGGCCTCTCGCCCGGCTTCCTGCTGAGTTCTGTGTAGAAGAGCTTTCGCAGCTCTCCCTTCTTATCCAAAGCACTCTTGCCGTTGATGCCCTCGAGCGCCTTCAGCAACTTGTTCAAGCCTGCAAGGGGGTCCTCCTTGGTCACGACAATCTCCACGCCATCGGGATCCTTTGCACGGACCTCCTTCTGATACTCAAGCTCGGCCGGGGTGAACTCTTCCCCGCGCTGTCGCACAACGCCCGATTGCCGTAACAGCCACCTCGCTGCTAAGTTGAACTTCTTCGTGCTCTCCAAGTCCAAGGAAGAAACCCACCATTGCATCTCTTTGCTGAACGCCCTCCAAGTCACAGGGCTCCCGTCCCACGTTGGCACCTTGTACCAAGCAGACGTTGTCTTATCATCTTCGGCCATCTCTGCAAAGACGGAGCCGGACTCGTAGCGCCAGGCAGCCTAGCTGCTGCCAAAAGGAAAAACTCAAATTCAAAGTTCACAGCGGGGTGGCTAGCTCCACCCAAAAGAGGCCTCGAAGAAGCCCAAGCCAAAGAAGCTGGACCAATCCAGGCAGCCAGGTCCTCAAGGCGCAAAGGTTTTCGAAGAAGGGCTCAAGAAGCCGGAGCAGTCCGGACAGCCACGGAAAACCAAGAAGAGGTAGTAGACACTGAGGCGAAAAGGCAAGAGGGCCACAGCCTCCTGTTTCAGGCGTCCACCTGCCAAGGTCCAAGGGCCTGCCAAAAGGGCGCAGCAGCACACAGCAAAGGCCCGGCACCGATGGTCTGCGGGAGCTTCGCCGCAGGCCGTGCCAGAAGGAACTCGCCGAGGAGGTGGACACCGTCCGGGGACACACTGCTGTAGCACTGGCCGCAAAGTGGTAGAAGAAAGCGAAGTCGGCAGGTAGCGCAGCAAGGGTCCAAGGAAAGATTGCTCAGGCTCCGGTGCCACTAAGCAACCCTGATGCTCTGGGCTGCTACAGGCTCTCACCTTTTGCCTGCCAGTAGCTATATCTGGATCAAGGCCTAAAAAGCCGCGGATAGGATGCGAACAGCTCTGCACACGGTCAAGACCCACCGGCACAAGCCTGTGGTTTCACACCTACAGATAGCGGAGTTCTTGTAACTCAGTTCTAAGTATATACGTAAGGACAGACTGCTTGTTCTGCTCAACACCTCTTTACCCCGATCTTGTTCGACATCTACGTGTTGCAGGAGGTTTCGAGACAGTCAGCCCGACAGCACAAGCTTCTACACCGATCCTGCTTGGCATCTATGTGAAGAGGGAGATTTCTCACAAACCGTCTATCGACATCTATGGGGCATGGGCAAAGTTCTTGAAGCTGGTGGTCGAACTATCATTCGTTTCTCGCACCTTCCATCAACAGGAATTGCTCGCAAGTCACCGTCATGTCGGGCCACAGGTCCACTACTGTGAGCCCCCGCCGGCTGGTCTCATAGATGAGTTCCCCGTTCCTGGGCTCCAGCAGACTCCACCCTAATTCGCCTCGGCTTCCTGCCGAGAAGCTTCTGGAACAAGCAGACCCGGATCGGGCCTCCTTCCTCCTAACCCAGCCCTTCCCCCCACACAAAATTTTCTGGCGGGGGTCCTCCCCGGCCTGTGGGACCCCCCCAATCGCTTGGAGGAGCTGCACCCCGATGCCGTGGGGGGTCCCGCCTGTCGGTGGCTCCTTTAGGGCGCTCCAAACGTGCGAATTTTGCTTTCGCTTCCTGACCAGAAACCCTCTTTCCTCCTTTCCTGTCCGTGGGCTGGCCCGGCTGCCGAGGCGGCGCGCGCAAGCGTTTACAATTGAATGGACTCCAGAGAAAATTCTCATGATTCTCATGGACTGCATCACTTCAAGAGGGCTCTGAGTTCGCAATGGAGATCTAGGGGGCATCTTCATTTGTTGAGGGCCCCAGCCTCTCTGTACCCTCACTTGCTCTTGACTTGCAAAAACAGCAATCGGATGCAATCTGTCAGCCTCGCTGCTGCTTCCCTTGCGTGTTTGACATGCCTAATGAGGCCACACATGCTCTCATCCCTGGGACCACTGATTCGCCTCACCGCACTCCGGGAAACTGCTTGGGCCATGCATCACCCAGAATTCGGCTTCGTTCCCGTCCTCATACCCAGCGCTTCGTACGACCACAGCATGGTTGCCTCAGCTCAGACGCTCATTGCGACTCATCGTGTCTCAAGCACCGCTCTCATGTACAGAATGTACTGGCATTGACATCTTCTGCGATACTGGTAGACTAGGCAAGGAATGAGAGCTTTGTGTCTGCAGAGCCGACTCAGTTGCAAGCCCAAATGCCTGGACCGACTGCGTCGCAGCAAGCTTCCTCACAAGTAAGCCCAAGCGATTGCAACGGTGATGGCTGCAGGTGAGCAACGCGAATCATCACGTTAAATGCAGAGAAAGGCACGAGAGAGTTCCCAAGTGTTTCCATGGCATCTGCTCTCAGCACAAATCCGGAAGGGCAGTTGAACATCTTGCCTGAGCAACGAAAGGCATAACATGGCCCGTCATGCAAGGAAGTGAGTCTGACATTCAGCCTTTTCTTCTAGGACGAGTTAGACATTGACGTGTAGTTCAAGAATTGCAATAATTGCATGAAAACAGCGATGAAAACCCCGACTGTCGCTCATGTGCCGCGTGGCAGCTCGAGGGCGGCGCCTCAAACATCAAACAAACTGCGACTACAGACTTTGTGACTTTGTGGTGTGAGTTCACAGGAAAGTAAATGCCATCATTTGCATAGGTCCTTAACCCTTGGAGGCTTGCTTCGCCCTGCTTCGCTCAGGGAGAATCAGCGAGCAACCATTTGACAAAGTGATAAGTTCGTGCAGAGTACTTCTAGCCCAGGCACGGGAGGGCTCACCTCAGCGACAGCTACGGCGTATCCTGCTCCTTCCTCGCGCACCACCTGGGATGATGCTTTCACGCAGTTGTTGTACGCAAGGTCAGGCACTCTGCAAAAAAATGAAAGACATTGCCAGCAATTCTGGCGATTTGTCCAACGAGACCCGGCGTCTGTCTCGACCTCTATTCAACTTCTGTTCGCCTTTAGTGATGTGACTGACGAATGGGGCGAGGAGATTTCTGCAAATCGCAAGCCTCCGACAGGGCGTTCCCGCCCTTGATGCCGATGAGCGCGTAGGAGCTCCTTCACAGGAATGGGTCTCACTCGCACGTAGACAACAATGTAACTGTAACAACTTCCTCGCGTCTGTTTCAAGAGTCATGTGGCGATGGTGAAGGCGGCTGGTCGGTCATTGGGCAGGACGAGGACGTCCCAAAACTACAGGGCTTTCGTTTGTTTTAGGTATCTTGTGGTCGGGCGTTACCTTCTCACCATGCTCACATCAGCCTCCAGCCGACAAGCGTCGGGAGCAGGCGGACCAAACCCGTGCCCCCCTTCCATGGGAGACCTCCGACTTAGGCCGCAATCCGCGGTTTCGGGGGGGGAGGACTTTGTGAAAGGGCTGTTGCAGTTCTACATCCAAGTTCTTGCCTTCCTCGTAACCAAGGATACCTGTGTTTGAGAAGAGAAGGCAGTAACAGCAAGGTGCTGAATGGAACTTGCCTGTCAAAGAGTTTTGCCATATGAACATCCACAAATGGAAACAAGAAAAGACGATACGAAACAATGCGCAATTTACCAGGAAATAGGCGAAGTACATGCAATGCTGTAGGCAAAACAGAAAGACACTCATGATTGGCAAGGAGAATTGGGTTGCACCAGCTTAACAGATAAATGCGAGTGAGTAGAATGTAAATCGAAGAACATGTCCTGAACATTGATGACAGCATAATAAAAGATGTATGTGCAAAAATATTTCACAAGACTCCGGGAGACAGAAAGCTTCGTAAGGCCACATCCTTAAGTTAGAGTGATACGAACAGTAGAGCAACAGAAAACCACCAGAAACTAGCACTAACCAATAACCAATAGTAAGGCTTCACATTTTTGTGAAGTATCTTGCTACGTGTCGAGTCCATGATTGTGAATTCTCTTGGTACTTGTCCAGTCCAAAGATGAAAACGTGTATAAGTCTGAATATACATACACATTACATGTTCACCGATGAACACATAAAGCAAACATCCTATTGGAACTCAGCTTCTCCGTGTGCCTGCAACTCTGGCCACCCTAATTCGCTGCTCAATCAATCGACCTTGCCCATCCCTGCAGATTCCAAGCCCGAGCATGAGTGCCACAAAGGGGCCGAAATGAAATCGGCTGGGGTAATGTGGCCCCGCACTCTCGAAGAAGGTTGGCCGCCTGTGCTACACACTAGATATACCTTGCTCATGTTGCCCCGTTGACCTGTGAAAGTGAAACACGTGCAGCACGCCCACCGCATCCGGGTGCTCCGCAAGTCCATGCCTCTTGGCTGAAGCTGGCAGAGGCTTCATCCACGGCTCCGACCAGTATCCTGGGGACACCAGTGCTGAACTTTGGTGCAGCTGCAACAGCAGCGCAGCACAAGCGGGACGTGGATTAGAGGTAGAGGCACGGTAGAGGTATTGCTCTACCCGAACCATGGCCAGCTGGGCACTTGGGGCACATAGCCTGAACGCTTGCGACTGCGGGACATGTTGCCAGCGGCGACCGAGCTCAGGTATGCGACCAAAGAAGATGAATCCTTTCAGATTTCATATGCACAGCATTGAGCTTTGGAAAAACATTGGTGTCGCCATGCTGTAAACAAGCGTCGGTGTAGGTGTCGAAGGTCTCGGTGTGCTTGACCTCATCCGAGCCAAGGAAGCTATGCAAACCCGCCCGACCAGCTCTCGCCATCCACGGGAGAAATACGATGCGCTGCATATGTAGTGTTGCCAAGGCCACAGTACTGCAATGCTACCAAGAACTGACAAAATTTGATTCCAGGCCGCTGTCATGTCGGGCCACAGGTCCACTATCGTGAGCCCACGTGTACCAGTCTTATAGATGAGTTCACCATTCCTAAGTTCTAAGGGCTTCCAGGCTACCAGAATGGCAGTCCCCCTCCATCACCCACAGTGCACCCCGCTTTGCCGCCATGCATCACCCAGAATTCGGCTTCGTTCCCATCTGAAAACCCGGCGCTTCGAACTATGACTGCATGGTTGCCTCAATTCAGGCCGCTTGGCAAAATTGCTTTCGCATATCTTTCACGCACAGCTTCTCTGATCGCCAAAGACAAGCTTTAACCTCTCACGAATCTGCAAAGCTAGCTTTTAACAAAGGGAACCAACTCAGATGCAAGCGCCAAAATGCCTGGGCCGACTGCTTCGCAGCAAGCTTCCTCGTCGGGAATAGCAAGCCCCAAATTGGAGCAGCGATGGCTAAGCGGCTACAGGTGAGCAAAGGCGAAACCGAGTTGTAAATTCAGAGAGAGGGCGAGAGAATTTCCAGGTGTCTCCAGTGCATCTGCCCGCAGTACATATCGAAGAGCTCCCCAAAAGCAGTTGTACATCTTGCCTGACATGCAGAAGCAGCAGAAGTAAATGCGCACCTGCCCTGGGGCATGGCATTGGCTCTTCTAAGGAATGGTGCGAACCTAGGAACTCTCCCACGTGAAAGGTGGCCAGGTTCACAGACTAGTCTAAGTCATTTAGGAATTTTAGGTGCCGCGGAGGCTGCACGTGTCCGAAAAGGGAAGAGGACTTGGTTTATTGCTTCTCATGGTGTCTCGGTCATTGGGTTCTATTCATGGCCCGGCCCATCCCATGAACTTGGGCTCTCATTCTGCCACGTGGCACAGAAGCGGCACCGGTTCCTCAAAGCACATCAGTGAACCAGTCCGTTCAGAGCAGGGACAGGTACTAGTCGTACAAACCAGTAGTACGACTTGCCGCTTCGCACAGGCCCGCAATGATCTGCATCTGACTTTACACAGAGATGGGGGAGTCACAAGTTTCGCGAAGAGTCTCGCAACCTTTCGGCTGGGCAGCTTCAGATTATTCCGTGGTCCTTGAAACCAAACCGACGAGAGTCTGGCAGCACGACTTGAGCAACTGCAACGGCGGTTCCACTGCCTTCTGGCAACAATACCTCGGCCAGGAAACTTTCTGAACAGAAAAATTGTACCCGAGTGTACCTGTACACATCTGTGCCTTCGACTTCTGCTCAAAAGTGGCTTGACTCTTGACAAAGCTGACTGTGCAAATGCAATTGCAATGCAAAATTGGGTTGGTTGATGTTTGTTGCTTCGTGCGGGTGCCGGCCTCGGATAAGGCACTCCCGCTCTTCTGCCCGATGAGCGCATACGAGCTCCTCCCAGCTTCACATGTCTTCATGACACGAACGCTCTGTCACCCTCTCCTTTCTGACACTGCTCTCGCCGAAAAAGGGGGCCTGAATGCCATCTGCTGGATGGACTTGGCCCCACAGTCAGCAATCAACGTCTTTGCCTGCATTTTCAAGGATGCAAGCCGTCTAGGCCCCTAGGCATAGGCCGACCTTGCAAACACCGCACCAAGCCTGGGGGCTGAGCATTGCGGAAGCCTCGTCCACGGCACCCATGAGAAGTCTTAGCGAAGCATCGGGTTGTTGGTTCAAACCGCGACATTCCGGGCCTGGACCTACTTGCTGGTCTGTATCTGGCTGACGGGCGTCAAGTTGCCAGCGGCCACAGACGACAGGTAGCCTTCCAGCTTGGATGATTCCTGACTCAAGACATTACAAAGTATGCAAAGTACTTGCCGCGTGAACAGACTATAGTGCGAGTCGGAGAAGGCAGTTGCAAGTGCAGAGTAGAAGTACAGTGGTTGAAGTAGCGGCACAATGAACTGATAGCCGTAGTCGTGGTCGAATATGAACACAATAGCGAATAATAGCAGCGGTAGAAAAAAGGTAGTTTTACTATTACTACTGCTATGGTAGTACTACTAGCGCTACAAGTACTACGAGTACGTCTAATGAGTCTAATGCTACTCCACACTACTACTACTACTACTACTACTACTACTACTACTACTACTACTACTACTACTACTACTACTACTACTCCTACTACTACTACTACTTCTGCTACTACTACTACTACTACTACTACTACTACTACTACTACTACTACTACTACTACTACTACTACTACTACTACTACTACTACGACCACTACGACTTCTACTACTACTACTACTACTACTACTACTACTACTTCTACTACTACTACTACTACTACTACTACTACTACTACTACTACTACTACTACTACTACTTGTGAAGTCGACCAGCCACTGGTCTTGCACAAGCAATGCAAACGCAGGCTGGCCACGCTGTTTTACGACTTCGCGGGATCACCAGCTCTGAGGTGCCCTACGGCCGCGCGTCCGGTCGGACCGCTCTGCAACCTAAAAGCTACAGAACGAAACTACCGAGCACAACGGCTACAAGACTATCTCGTGTTGAGCCAAAATTGGCATTGTAACGAATTGCAAAACTACACATGCAAGGTGAAATCAATGCTACGAGCTGCAGCATGCACTCATGCTTGCCTCCATTCGCCCCTCAGCCGAGGCTCCGATGAGTGTCACAGCAAAGGAGGGGTGGGAGCCCGCACAACATGAGCATTAAAGCGACAGGGAAGGCGGCACTGGCGACTGCCCGCACACAACCACGGCACACGCGAACGGCAACGTCCCACGACGAGCAACCCTCCTAACCGACCAACCATCCTACCCCAGGAAGGCGGTCCCGACCTTTTGGCACGGCCGGTGGTGAGGCTCCATGCCCAGAGCCAAGCTGTGCTGGGGCAGCTTTTGCAGCTCGGAAACTATGGTACACTGTACACTACCGGTCCTAAGCTACGGCTACGGCTACTCACCTCTGGAACTACCCTACGGGCTACCGGACTCAGCGAGAGCCGCGCACATGGCTTGTGCCGCAGGCAATGCTGCTCACGCGCGCTTCGGCGAGCGCATTGCCGCGACCAGGACACGGTCCGCGTGCGTCAAATGTGTGGCGGGGAACGCGGTGGGCGGGGTGGGCAGGACTCCATCCTGCCGGGGCCGCGGCGTTGCGCCCGCAAGCAAACACAAAATCCAAAGAGAAAAGCGGGAGGTCAGCCGATTGTTTCCTTGCTTCGCTCGCAAGTCCCGGATCACGGTGCAGCTGATCCCAATTGGATCGTATACAAGAGCTCGCAACCTGCTGCGCAGCTGCAGTACGTTAACAGGCACTATGGCGGGTTTGTTGCCTTCGGCTAATTGCTTTGAGTCCAAGTCATGTACAACCCTCAAACCTCATTGGGTTAAGGGTTTGGGGCTGACGTTGCTTGTGAACAAGCCCAACAAAATGCGGCACGGCCAAAGCCCCGCGTGAAACCTGTTTGTGAGTCTCGCGCCCGACACCCGGTGATGTAGGGTGCGTCCACCCCACCATCAGGAGGCAGAGAGCAAGGCGGCCGTAGGGCGAACCCCCGACACCTGCAGGAGTCCCCGGCGTCCCGCAAGACCTCCAGCCCCATGCTTGCCGATGGGCCGTAGCAGCGTGTGCTACTTTACAAGCTATGCGTAAGAAGCTTGACGGACCCAAGCGGAGGCCAGAGGAAGCTCGACGAGCCCAAGCAGAGGTCAGGCGCTAATTGCTTTGAGCTACGACCTTGTTTGAGAGTTTGAGTTTGAGTGTCCACAGCTGCAGTCGAGATGACGTGGAGCTGTACAAAAGCAAGAGCAAACGACATGCAATTGCTACGTCACTGCATCACATGCTACAATGATGCTTGCTGCAAATTGCAACCTACACACAACGCACGAAGCGAGGGGACATGTCACAGGCGCTTCCACTACTACTACTACTACTACTACTACTACTACTACTACTACTACTACTACTACTACTACTACTACTACTACTACTACTACTACTACTACTACTGCTGCTACTACTACTACTACTACTACTACTGCTCC